ACTTTGACTTTACTTTAACTCATTAAGCTCAATAGTAAATTTATTAATTGCACATAGTATCATGAATGAGAAGATAAACATTATCCAACAATCGCTTGAAGAATTAATCTTTATTTTATTTCTGTCCAACTTGAGACTAAGACTAGTAATTCATATTTTCTTTTTCTTTTAGGTTCCACATTTTTCCTTTCAATATTATAGAGTCCCATCATTGTAGCAATGTTAATAAAGATCTTAGAATACCATATAAATAATGATTTTTTTAAAAAATAAAATAAAATATGACAGCATTTTTACTTCAAACTTTTTAAATGAATTTTTTTGCTTCTAATTTACTTTTATGTTTTTTTTTTTTACTCCTAAGTAAATTTTTTAGAAGGGAAGTTTGTACTCGTAAGTAAATTTTTAACTTATAATTCATTTTTCTAATCACAAATGATTTTTTTACTTTCAAAATTTATTTACATTTTATATGTAATTTCTTTTAATTGTAAGTGAATTATTTTAGTAAAAAGTAATTTTTTTTTTTGGTAATAAGAGAATGTTTTATACTTATAAGTGAATATTTGTCTTAAAAAATAATTTTACTGAACCTTTTTTGTAAAAGTATTATTTTTAATTCATAAGCAATTGTACTACATAGAATCAACCTATATCATTTATATATATAAGTCAGTCCACACACTGTTTTTCCAATTATTAATCACTTCAATTACAAGTAACAAATATTAAGGTATAAATCCAACTCATTGAACGAGTTAAAATTCATAGAAGTGGCTATGATGGAATTATCTAGTTGGACAAAAGTCAGGCACTGTTTCAGGATAATTTTTATCTTATATGGTTTAACGCGGTGTGTCTTGTATGGCATAAAAGAACACGATGATGTGATTATTGATAAAAAAGAGAAGAAAAAAAAGTAAGAAATAGAGGAATTTTAATCTAAATCTTGGTTTGATTTTCCTAAAAAATTGATAAAAATTTAAATTAAAATCAACAATTAATTTTAATCACGTTTATTGAGATTCATAACTTCTTAATCAAGTATTTTGTCAAATTTTATTAAAATCTACTAAAAATAAAATTTTAACAATACCAAATAAGACTAATTATTTACCTAACAAGATAGTCAACTCATTAATCCTTCATGCATATAAAATAAAAACCAATAAAATTGCATATCTTGCGTACAAAATTAAAGAAGGAATCCCCGAATCAGGTTAGAGATGGCAACGGAGCGGGTTCGGAGTGCCCTGCCTTAGACGGGTGGGGGAAAATACAAATTCAAAATTTTAAAATTCAAAGCAAAAAATGCTCAAACTAACTATATTAATATCAAAAGCAAGCATTCGAAACAAATAATATCCAAAACAATTTTTTTTTAATTCTTCACGGGGACGAGGCGCCGCCAATTTTTTTGCCATCACTAAATCAGGTCCATGTAAAACATTTTTATGTACATTGTAGTAATAGTATCCAATAATATAAATATTGTGGACGAAAACGAAAAATTCCCCTTAAAATTGAGGTCGAAGATAAACAATATATACAAATTTACATTTGATTTCAATTTAATTTCAGAATAAAATTCTCACTCATAAAAAATGCTGATTTTACCGATTTATTTTTACTAGTGGTGGATCGTGCGTTGCACGATGACTGCTATAATTTTGGCCAAAGTTCTATTTGCAAATGCTAACTATATCCTGTTATTTAACAAACCAATT